GCTTCACTGTTGCCAGTGCAAGGTTTGCTCGAAAGACATTTTTGTCACAGTTAGCGTCAGTTTTCAAATCGTGCGGTAACAGCACTCCTAAATCTTTTTCGACTTCGGATACTTCTGGAAAGGAGTTTCCTAAGTTGTAACTGTAGTCTGCATTATGTTGCAGGTGGACTACTTTACACTTTGAAGTGTTAAAGATAAGTCCGTTATCGTCTGACCAACTTTGAAGTCGGGTCAGATCCTCCTGAAATGCCAGTATATCCTCCCGGTTGCATATCTCTCTCCGAGGTTTCACATCATCAGTAAAAATAATAAGTCTGACGACAGCTGTTCTGGAATATCATTTATATAAATCTGGAAAAGAATAGGTTCTGGTAATGAGCCCTGGAGGACCACACTATGGCATTCCATAGCCTGTAAGAAAGTAAAGTTAGCCCTGACATCGAAATGTCGATTTTTTAGATACGGAGTGTTCCTATCAATTAGTGGTGATACGATGCTCAATCGTTTGAGTTTATTGATAAGACATATATGACTGACCCTATCAAAAGCTTTTGGGAAGTCAAGGTGAACGGCGTCCAGCTTTCTCTTGAGATTCAGGATGGTCGTGCATCTGTCTACCGCAATCAGCAGGTTGCTTATACAAGAATGGTTCCTTCCTTTGAAAATTAGTGTGATGTCACTCAAAGGCCACGTCCAAGATGCTCATGCTCTAATGAATAAAATTTCATTGCTCCTTACGATGATTGAATTTGAATCCTCGAAATGATTTCGTGGCTCGCCCATACATACATTTCACGGTATCTTTATCCATGTGATTTGATGGGAAGCACGTTGATTCTATTCTCCCTTCTCCCGGTAATTACTTGTTTGACGTAATTTACATTGAGTTTAAGTCTCACCTTAAGAAACGGTTTAGATAACAATTGATGTACAGAATTACAGCTTATATCGATCAGTGTCTCTGAACCAACTCAACAACAATCTGGAAGAAATCCCGATAGTAAACTGGCGCATCCAGAATTACATCGTATGAAGAGCCATACCTCCGTTGAACTGAATAAAACCCATATCATTATAGGATCCAAACCACGCTTTGGATGTTGAAGAATAGCCGATAGGGGGTTTTAGACACGCGCCCTTTCCCGTCAAAATCAGAACAAGTAATCGGGTAACTAGCGGTTCTATAATTCATAATAAATTTAATGTATATCATTACCTAAACAAATATTATCACCCGGCTATTCAACCAATGATTGTTCAATCAATTAAATCTAAATTACAATAAATAAAGAAGTTGATAGAAGATGAGGAAAAATTACCAATCACAACAAATCAACGTTATTCTATCCTGGCTGGATAGATCACACACAACAGGAGGAACAAATCAATATGGCTACCGCCAAGAACAAGTGTCAAGTAAGACAACGCAGATGCAGTTCAGGAAGAAACACAAACTTAGTGAATGCGTAATAAAAACAAAAACTATAACAAAAATACAAATATTAACAATTCAAATGTAATCAAAATACAACAATGTACAACTAATGCGATCAATAGGAGTAAAGTACAAGTATATACATGGAGGGATTTTCACCAACACATAAAACCTTCAAAATGGATCTTACACCGGCCCCCAAAATCCCTCCATACCACACAAGCTACCTTGACGCCTACGGTCATGGTTCATTATATAACATATCACACCATAGGAACGAGTAGGACTTACAACAGTACGCCTACTCGACCTAACTACATTAATAACAACAAAGACTAATCCAAAGCTTCAAGGAGACCTGCTTCACCTGTTCTCTGGTGATCAACAATAACAGTCGTGATATAGGCCTAATCACTCTTCCCCAAACTCCACCCATGCTGTTGGATGAGGGCCTCGCTGACAATTCAATGTTTATCTTCTGATTCGACTGCTGCACAAACTTGCTTAACTCAAAAACTGTCCCCACGAAGCTTGACGCACTGACACTGTAAATCTCTGGAGGTTTCCTTCTTCTTCCAATAAAACGTAATAGAGCCATTAAAAATGAATCAGTAATCAAATTACACATCATTTCAATATGTACTGCCCATGTTTGCAAACAAGTAAACACATATCCATACCCTTTTTCTAATGATCTTCCTATGTGTCCTTGTTCTTTATGACAATGTCTAACTATCATTTCCGTCACTAAATGTCGACTGGGTAAAATTACTGGATGTTTAAAAGCATCTGGGAAATCTGAGTATCTTAGTCGACCTCCAACGCAGAGTAACCCATCAAGCATCATCAACGATAAACCTTTCAGATCATCATGGCTTACTACTTTACTGCTGTTCTTAAATTCACTAAGTAATTCTCCATACACTTCTCTCTGAACCATCAATAAAATCTTACGCTTGACAATCTCAAGCTCTTTGACCTTTAAACATCCTAGATGAACGGATCCTTCACAACTCGGCAAACGAAGTACCATCAGGAATTCGATAAACCCTTTAAACCAGGTTACAGCTCTGACTAATTTCAACCACTCGGAATAATAAAAGAGAACAGGTGTCTTGTTGTACTTTATACTACTCAAGTTAACCACAGCAGTTTTTCTAAACTCAATATCGTCAAGAGTAGGTTCCGGACAGTCAGTGATTGTTATATAAAATTCGCCATGCAATAGAGTAGGACATTTGAACCATGATTCAAGATCGGTCATTTTTTGTATACTTCCTCTACATAATAATCCACTTATATGCTTAACGCAACTCTTTGCCTGATCACAAGTGGGAATAGATATCAAGCAATCATCAACATGGAAATTATTCTTGACAGTATCTACGACATAACTATCATAATCGTCAGAGAATATTTGGGCCGTCTTATTCAAGGCAAGGTTCGCACGAAAGGGCGACGATGTGGCACCAAATGCATGAGTTGTCATTTGAAACTCAGACGGTTCTCTCGACATGTCCCCCTCCTGCCACCACAGAAATCTTGAAGCTCCTCGATCAGACTCAGGGACATTCACTTGCATGAACATTTCTTCAACATCTACAGGGATTGCAACTGCCTCCTTGCGAAAACTTATTAATATACACCTTAACTCAGCAGTGGTATCGGGTTCTTGATAAATCATATCATTTGGGGGAACCCCTGCAAACTGGGCGGCACAATCAAGGACCACTCTAAGATCTGGTTTTTTCATGTTTAATACTGCACGATGAGGTAAATACCATCGAGGATGATAATAAGACTGCAGATATATTTCAAAGACCCTCTCTGCATAAGTCTTAGTAAAATCACTTTCAGTACTTTTGATATACTTGATGTGCAGACTGACATCCCTCGACAACATACCCTTCAAACTTTGTAATCTACGGTTTGGTACTTCATAATTATTCACTTTCATATCTGGAATCTTTTTCCAAGGTATAGAAACTACAAAATGACCGTCGCCGAAGCGCGTGCCACCTTCCACAATCTTTATAGCCACCTTGTCATCTACTGATAATGATTTATCACTTGAATAAGCATCTGAAAACTCTACGTCATAAGGCTTACGTATTTCGTTCTCTAATGTCTGTATCTTACTGGTATGATTAACAACTCTTTTTCTATATTCCGGGCATGATGGCTTATCATTTACGACGTTGCTTGTCGAGTCAGTGTGCAGCACAGCGTGATGTCTCCTCTCGCAACTGTCAACTTTACAGAGCCTTGTCATCTTACATTCATTAACCTTATGTCCTTGTCTAAGACAGATGAAACAGATACCCTTGCTTTTAGCGTGAGACCATCGGTCTTGAACTGTAAGCGCTAAGAACTGTGGACATTTATCAATGGCATGGTCGTAGGAACACATACTACATTTAGTTTTCATTGTCGAACTATTCCCTTGCTCTGATTGCACGTGACAGTTCGTCTTTACGTTATGTCCTTTTCTAGAACGGTTTGCTAACCGTCCAAATCTACTACAAGCCACTCTCGCACGCGATGCGATAAACTGAGTGAGCTCGTCGAAGGTCGGTTCCCTGTTATCTTCAGTCAATTTATCCACCCAGTCCGCCCACTGGGCTTGCATAGGTTGAGGCAAGAGTCTCACTATTCTTTCCAAGGTAACTAAGGAATTTAGATCAGAAGTATAATTCATCTGTTTCAAGACCATGGCACAGTTTTCCATTTTAATAACCAAGTTTAATAGTTGGTCCCCGTCAATATTTTCAAAATTCACAGCACTGAATAAGTCCTCTAGTGTTTCTCGAGCAATTACGTGAGGCTGTCCGAAAAAACGTTTTAAAATCTCCCTTGCTCTTTTATAGCCAGAGGATGCCTCCATCATGACGCAACCTTCAATAGCTGTTTTAGCCTTGCCCTTACAGTAGTGTATCAAATAGAGTAAGCGCTGGCTATCATCCGTGACTCTTGAGGCTACATACGTCTCGAATTGCTTTATAAACTTCCAGTAACCTCTTGGCTCTCCATCGAAATAACTCAGTTCAACCTTAGGTAGCTCTGGGACAACAACATGGACTATAGGCAACATGCTCTTTCCTAGTAATTCAGACCTTTGCTCCTCCTTTAAACTAAGATTTTTTACATCATCTGACATCGAATTAAGACTCGAATCACTGCCATGATAATTAACCCTATTTAAGTCTGAACCATGACCCTTAAGGACGTCAAAAGGCACTTGCTTGACAATAGGGGATTCTTCGTTAACATCGACGAACTTTGAGCCTGATCTCCTTCGACGATTAACTGGCATTATAAGCGACACGACCAATTATTTCCAGAAAATCCGTGAACGATTACCAAAGGATTTCGGCCAAGTAATATTTGTTTAGAACTATAGGATCCAAACCACGCTTTGGATGTTGAAGAATAGCCGATAGGGGGTTTTAGACACGCGCCCTTTCCCGTCGAAATCAGAACAAGTAATCGGGTAACTAGCGGTTCTATAATTCATAATAAATTTAATGTATATCATTACCTAAACAAATATTATCACCCGGCTATTCAACCAATGATTGTTCAATCAATTAAATCTAAATTACAATAAATAAAGAAGTTGATAGAAGATGAGGAAAAATTACCAATCACAACAAATCAACGTTATTCTATCCTGGCTGGATAGATCACACACAACAGGAGGAACAAATCAATATGGCTACCGCCAAGAACAAGTGTCAAGTAAAACAACGCAGATGCAGTTCAGGAAGAAACACAAACTTAGTGAATGCGTAATAAAAACAAAAACTATAACAAAAATACAAATATTAACAATTCAAATGTAATCAAAATACAACAATGTACAACTAATGCGATCAATAGGAGTAAAGTACAAGTATATACATGGAGGGATTTTCACCAACACATAAAACCTTCAAAATGGATCTTACAATCATCATGCTGAAAAATGTGGCTTTAGTTCTGCTCAAATAGTTAGTATGTAGTTCTGGCGATAAAATCACCAAGGTGTAGTCCTAGGTAGACGAAGGATGGAACTCTTCACTCCAGTCTTTGAAGAAGAAGGAGTTCGTCTAAACCCTGAAGGTGACTGCTCTCCCATTAACCACTGGCGTTGTGGAAATTTTAATTCCCTTGCACCGAAATAGCATGAGTTAACGATCCGTCACGATGACATTCATGTTCTATTGACTGTGACGGGTGGAGCTCTCGTGAGCTTTCAGTCGAACCAATTATATATATATGTATAATGACAGCGGAGTAACCCTAAACTCTAGACTGATTATTTCTCGAGCTGAATGTGTTTACCACTGTACGCTGAATGTCTGTCGAAATACAGTCGACATCAATCGAGGTCGATGTGGAAATATAATCGAGGTGGTGTGGCTTGACCATATGAAAGTGAAAATTATATCACAGCATTGACGTGAATGGTTCTTATCACTAACACATTCAGGTTAACATCGTACTGCTTATACAGTTAGACATCTTTGCAATTAGGCTCGCTCACCGTACCATAAAACCACGTTACACCACAAAGTACTGTTTCATAAGATCAATCTAAAGCGACAATTCTTTCTATCTAAGCGACTGAGAGAACAGTAGCGATGAATGAATGAGCGTATATTAATTGATAGTTAAATATGTACGGGCCACTATTCACATACGTAAACAGATATGCTCAGCCAAAACAGAAGCGTCTAACTTCAATGCGATAAGTTCGTCAGACAAACATCCCGAAATAAGTGTGTGTAGACAGGTTATTGGGTGAGCACAGGACTATAAGTGAGATTGTGATTTTACTTCAGACTGCTAAACGCTTGTCCCATATCTTTCTAACATCGGTCAAAATGAGAGATACACAGAATAACGGCAAAGAGTGAATTGACTGACCCGTCCAGAAATTAGAACAGAGACCCTCAAGCATATATCTAATTTGTCCCAGTACTGCTGACGTCATCGCATTTCCCAAATTTAAAGATGTTATTTATGAGACAGGATGATCCAGAGACTAAGCAAAGAAGTTAATGATTAGAAGAGTCAGAGGTAAATGATTTCAAGCACAGGGAGAGGTAGGTAAACACGCAGCTACCAAACTGTCTATCTAGCAGAGCTGTGTCAACGGTCCTGTGGCATACGACAACTATTACCTGACTAGCCACGCTCAATTAGTAGTGCTGGCTACTACCAGTTCTTCTTTACCCATAAAAATTCAACCTATTTGTGGATCACTGCTTCCTCATACGGAGAACAAGAACGAGAAGCTACCAGTCCTTGAAAAATAATTCTGGTTCTCGTTGTACAGAAGTACGTCGTCGGAACATTCCGGTCTAAATAACTACTTCAATCCACCTTGTTGTGGCTTGAAGACTTTAAAAAGAAAATTTTTGTACCAGGAGAACTGCTGCCAGAATAGTACTTCATATTCTGATTGTAGACTTCACTAACCCGCTATCGGAAAGTAAATAAACGTTAGGAAGAATTATAGTCTTATCGCGTACATCTCTCTGGTGTGTGAAGTGCCGTTATCCTACTATGTTTGTTAGTGCAGGTAAACAACCGATTATTCACGACCGACTGAGCGAAGAGACAGACGGAGACACATCACTTACCAGATGTGATCAGAGTATAGGCAATTATTCCTCAACCATATGTCACTGACAAAAATCTGAACATTCGGCTAGTCAAGTGACAGGGCAATCGAATACTGCTACATATGAAAGTGCTTATAACTGCCTTGAGCTAAATACGTAATGACGCAGTAGGACTACATTCAGCGGTGATATGGGCATCGTCCAATTGCAAATTAACAGATGTGATTTGAGTTCTAGGTATGTTGTCACTTTGAACACCACAGTGTTTCTCAATAAGATATCGAAAACAGGCAACAGTCGTCTATACAGACGGTTTTGCAAACCATCGATAACAGGCACCGATGTTTATCAAAAACCTGCCGCTATAATGGTAAGGTGGGAATCACACACATCAGTAAATGTAGATAAACAGAACTGAATAATTCTGTCCCATAGTTAATTTAGAATTTGACGATATGAAACAGAGAGATAAAATCAAAAAGGGTATAATATTTTAAGATTCGGGCATTAAATTACGAAGCATGACAATTTTTCACTTTTCCAGAACTACAAATATCACATTGGTAAGGAGCAAAGACAGTAGTGTTTTATGACAAAATAATCAGAAACAAAATAGAAATAGGGAGACAGTCAGCTAGTCAAATTTCCTGTTACAATCATTAAAAACGTCGAAGCACTTGACGACTGTCTTTTATAAGTATTGGTCTCCTCGAAAATGCGCATCCGTGTCGAGCATGAATAAGTTACCCACGCCAAACAATTGTCGAAGGGTTGAACAAGATCATAGATTGAAAGAAGTTAGACGTTAACAGCGCTGACTGCCAGCCCGGTTATCTAGAATCTAGTCGTTCGTGAGTGGAGCTGAGTGCGAGATCATGGACGCCCAATGCTGCTGTAGCGGTAAATAATTCTTCAAAATAAATAGCCCTGTAAGTTTTCGACATTGGATACTGACCAAATGTTTGAATAGACTCACCCAGCTGAAGGCGCTCGGTCATGCATCCACATCAGATCACGTGTGGGAACGCCGTGCTCAACTGCGACTGCAATCGTTAGCCAGGTTAGATAAGATAAATCCGATATATTGGGAACCGTCAAATGAAACTTCTGATCTCCTCGATTCTGCCTTTTGATTGCTTTTCGTAGTTACGAGTTATGTTAGGTGTTATTGTTAAAGGCGTTGTAAAACACTGAATACCTGTTGTAGAATCCAAACCACGGTTTGGATGTTGAAGAATAACCGTCCAGGTACGTTAGACACGCGCCCTTGCCCGTCGAAATCAAAACAAGTAATCGGGTAAATAGCGGTTCTGTAATTCATCACAAATTTAAATGTAAATCGTTACCTAAACAAATATTACCACCCGGCTATTCAACCAATAATTGTTCAATCAATAAAATCTAAATTACAATAAATAAAGGAGTTGATGAAAGATGAGGGAAAATTACCAGTCACAACAAATGAACGTTATTCTATCCTGACTGGATAGAACACACACAAAAGGAGGAGCGAATCAATATGGCTACCGCCAAGAACAAGTGTCAAGTAAAACAACACAGATGCAGTTCGGGAAGAAACACAACTTAGTGAATACGTGAGAAAAACAAAACTATAATAAAAAATACAAGTACTAACAATTCAAACGTAATCAAAAGACAACGATGTACAACTAAGGGGATCCATAGGAACAAAGTACAAGTATATACATTGAGGGATTTTCACCAACACACAAAACATTCAAAATGGATCTTACACCGGCCCCCAAAATCCCTCCATATCACACAAGCTATCTTGATGCCTATGGTCATATTTTATTATATAACATTTCACACTACAGGAACGAGTAGGACTTACAACAGTACGCCTACTCAACCTACTTACATTGATATACGAGGAACTAATTCGAGCCTTCCAGGAGGCATAATCTACGTATATCTCTTCTGACTAATCCACTGTTCGTACGAATAACCACTGTCCTAACTCTTTCGTCGTCATCTATTTTACAATCTTCGACTACTCCTAAGGGCCACTTTCCACGGGTCGATATGTCCGAAGCCACGATCACTACATCCCCTTTCTGAAAATTGCGGTGTTCAACTAACCACTTTTGATGTTTTTGTAGGGACGGTAAATACTCTCTTAACCACCTTTTCGAAAACACATTTGCAAGATGGTTAACCTGTTTCCAACGTTTGTCATATTTATCTCTGATGCTACCTTCTTCGACTATTCCGTCACATTCTCTCAATAATAACAAACTATTTGGCGACAAGGCTAGTTTATCGTTAGCATCTTGAACGACCGGAGTTAAGGGTCGATCGTTCAATATCCTTTCAATCCCGATCAAATAAGTGTTTATAGTCTCATCGGTTAGAGTCTGCTCTCTAGTTATCAACAATAACAGCCGGCGTTTGGACCTAATCATCCTTTCCCAAACTCCACCCCTGTGGCTGGATGAGGGCGGGTTAAAATGCCACTAAATCTGTCTAGCTGACAGTTCTTTGTCTATTTTCTGTTGATCCAACTGTTGCACAAATCTCCTTAATTCAGAGACCGTACCCACGAAATTTGATCCATTGTCACTGTAAATTTCGGCAGGTTTCCCTCTTCTTCCAATAAAACGTAACAAGGCCATTATAAACGAATCAGTATTCAAACTATGTGTCATTTCAATATGTACTGCCCGGGTTTGCAAGTAAGTAA